AAAAAAAAAAGTTGAAATTATTGATAAAAGTACCAGTCTACCATGCAGAAGAACAAGTAGCGCATAGACAAAATATAGAGTAAGATTAAAATGATTCATTAAACCTTAAGGACAAGATTGTTATGAAAAGACTAAACTCAAAGTTTTGAAACAATAAAAACTAAATTGAAAAATACCCAAATATTGACAACTAAAGCATTATTTAGCATATTCTGAATCCAAAATATAACAAATAAATCAATTGCTTTACATAAATGTTTTACAATGAAGTCAAGAAAGTTAATCATTATTATTATTTCTTTTTTTGAGTTCAGCACTTAGCTGGCTGGGGATCAAAACATGGTAATAAGATCGAGTTGACAACGACATTATCATTAACTGCACTTGAATTTGCTTGCTATAGACTACTAAATATTTAATTGACTAGTCCTATACAATTACTGCGTGTGGGAAAAATGAAAACATCTGAAATGCGAACATTTAGGGTCATAATGGTAGCAAATAAAGCAGAAACCACAGAGGAAAAATAATACGAGAAATAAGTGCACATGGCGTTAGATTCGATACGCGAGGGTCTGTATATCAACAATATCGAATAGAACCAGCCGCAAATGATTGCTCATATATAACAAAAGAGGCATGAATATCAAATCTCTCCAAATTAATCTGAAATGTGTACAGAGCATGAGTTGATACAGAAGAGGTAATCGAGTCCGAATGTCATGGTATTCTCCGTAACGAGAACATAAAAAGTGGTAATTGAAGAAAGAGGAGGAAATTAAGCCGAATATCACAAAAGCTGGGTAGAAATAATAAAAACGAAAACCACCTTGATGTAATAAGCTTTCTTGATTTCGGCCTCCGTAGCCGCGGGGCTGACTCCAAGCACGTCATAATATTCCGTCTCCTTCACCATCTCGGACTTCCGATCAGACGATTGAATTTTATGATGTAGGAGTTTAAAAGTCCCCGCCGGCCTTTTGCTAGAATGAAGGTCGGAATGCCGGGTTCAATTGTTGGAAAATGTTAAGGTGAATAATTTATTTATTTAAACAAGAGTGATTAACAAGATTAGATGACTCCTTGGAGAATAGAAGAAAGATCAAAAAATAAAAAATAGAAACGAAAAAAAGTATCGCGAGCCACGTGGTACGATGCGCGTCAGTCCGCCTTCTAAATATTACCAGTACGATTTTTTAATTTAATATTATACTAACATCATATTTAAAAAATATATATATATATATATATTAACGTTCGAGGAACCCTAGATGCTGTCGGAGTAAAGGATCGTCAACAAGGGCGTTCTAGTGCGTTGTTGATTCTTATCCAAGACTTGTATCATTTGATGATGCCATGTGAATCGCTAGAAACATGTGAAGTGTATGGCTAACCCAATAACGAAAGTTTCGTAAGGGAACTGGAACAGGCTACCATAAAACAAACACGGCCGAAGATCCATTGCTCTATTTTGCATGCTCCGCTCCCAAAATGCAGAGAGACTTTCGAGGGCAGATCCGGGTTGGTTGGTCCGGAAAGTCATGGGAGAGGCAGGCTAAGTGAAATAAAATAATACCCTGGACACATAATTAAATTTTAAACTATAGCTCCTGCTATGAGAGGTCCTGGTTAAACGAAACCGAGGACCGCTCATGGCTGAGTAAAAAAAACTACAAAACCCCTTTATTCAAAAGAAAAAAAAGAAATGGCAAAAAAAAAGGTTCTGTAAACTTCATTTTGTAGTTCCAGAGAGGGTTATAATACTTTTGAAATTACTCATTAAAACTCTATAATTAGATATTATTAAAAAAATAAAATATTTAAAAATGAAATAGAAATTGACCAACTCTGGGAACGTGGGCTCGGACCGGATGAGTTGGACAGTGAGTTACGAATGTCACGTAAATGACCTGCAAAACAGAATGAGCACTCTGATGCCAAAGTCAGTGAAAGTCCGAACAAAGTCGAGAGAGAATCAAAATGTTCGCGTACCTCTAAACGAACGGAATGGATCTAATTATATGCGAAGACCCCAACACTGTTCCCGACAAGGCCTCAACGACTCTTTAAGGTTATCGTGAAACACGGCGTGTTGTCGTGGAGTATGTAGGAGGTGTGACTGAACTAAGGTAAGCTTATTAGTTCAATAGGAGATATGGGAACGTAATTGTAAACA